TTCAAGAACCCTAAACCGCCCAAGGACTGCCGTGACGACCCAAACACCGGAACCTTTATAAAAACAAAGGAAAAAACAGGAAACAAAATACACAAAACATAAACAAGGGGCGAACTGAGAACAGATGCAAAAACATAGCCTATTCAAAGTTAATAAGTACAAAAGAGCAAAAACAAATACAAAAACATCAATAAAAAAGAAAAAGAGAAAAATATACCATGAAAAATAGGCAAAAAAGCCAAAATAATGTTATCAATAACAAACATATAGAAACAACGATGTTTGGTGTAAATAAACAGGAGAAGATAAATCATAATTCTGGTAAGCAACAGCACAGTGATGAATTAGTGTTCAAGCCGAAGAGAAACTATTCATAATGCGTTGATCCAAAAGTTTCCCGTTACAGGAGTATTCTGTTCCTATAGCCAGCACCATTCAATTTTGGAACAAGACCAATGATCATCCCAGGCAACTCTTAGATTTGGTGCAATACTTTATCAAAATGAGCTACTACCGATCCCTAAAATGTTGATGGTGACCCTCGAGGGCAACACATATATCTCTGCTATATGTTCTGAAGCTCTACGCTGAAAGTACTTGTTGCCTTCCCACATAAAACAATGAGCATGGGAATCTGAGTAAGTATACACAAAAATCTGAGTTACAATTGTGGTCGAAACCGGTGTGGGGATGTGGAAAAGTGGAACTTCATATAATCGTAGGATTTTTGACATTTGTTACATCCTTTTTTTTTTTTTTTAATAACCGCAATCTTAAAGGAGAATTATGGGGTCAGTGTTTTTCTCCATAGTTCCCTTAGGGTCACAGGAGAACAGAAACTAGCGTCCTCCCGTGACCCGAAGCTCAGTATATAGCGACCTACAGCTCGCGGTATACTGAGACCGCCGCAGCCGTGACGGATCCCGACATTACTGTCGAGATCCACCCAGCTGCGTGAGTGACAGCTGGCTTGGCCTATCTGGAGGCAGAGCCAGCTGTGCCCACCCCCTCCCCGTCCGTTCCTCCAGTCAGCGCTGGAAGATCGGACAGGGGAGGGGGGAATCCCTGCAGGGAGCCATGACTGACAGTCATGGCTCTCTGCAGGGCGGTGATCGAGAAATGAGCGAGCGACGGTATGTGTTCGCTCACTTCCCGATCTATTGAGCCGACCTGTGACAGTCTCATTGTCACACGTTGGCTCGAACTATGAGGATGAGTGTTTTTCACTCACCTCATAGTTCTCCTTTAATACGCTCCTAATTTGCTCAGACAATGAGTTGTATGTTTGCATGAACGGCATGACAATATTCAGTCCAATGTCAGTCCTATGTTGATTGGCCCTTTTATGGACCTCGGTAAGGACAGACATGTAAAACCGTGAGCTAAGAACTTGTTCCACATAGGATCAACCTGTAACTTTTGATCCTCAGGATTAGAACAAATCCTGTGGATACATACAAATTGGAAAACACTAAACAGGGAAATTTGCTGTAAATGTTTATGATGGGCACTAGAGAATTGCAACATGGTCTTTCTATCTGTAGGTTTACATAAAAGAGAAACTGATAGAGATCTTACTTTCTTAATCAACAGACACAGTAACATCAAGGAAGGCAAAAGATGACCCTCCAGCTGTGGTGGAACTACAAATCCCATGAGGCATTGCAAGATTCTAACAGCCACAGACATGACTCCCGGAGAGAGATGCATCATGGGATTTGTAGTGTCACCACAGCTGGAGGGCCGGAGTTTGGCTACCCCTGCAGTAGAAGAACCACAAAAAATGTTGTCTACGTAACGGAACCATGCCTGGACATGGTCCCAATAGAAGGGTAACAAATAAATGGACTGTACCCTGGAGTAATCCAACAAATAGGTTCTTAAATGAGGGTGATGCTGAACTTCCTATCGCCATGACACATATTTGTTTAAACATCATGTTCTCATATTTGAAATAGTTACTATTCAGGACAAGATCCAGGCTTTACAAGATGAACTTGGAATTTTGGTGGGACAACGTGTAAGAAAGTATCTGACTGCTTTCAGGGCTTCATCAACAGACACCATCACAACCCTGCAGGTGAAAGAAAACTAAATACATGGGTCAGTGAACTTCCACTTCATTACTTACAAAAATATCTTTTCACATTTCCTGCAAAAAAGGATGTTGCAAATGTCAAAACTGTAGCCTCTGTAACACAATGATATGCGACTCTACCTTTCCACATCCCCATACTGGATTTGCGAAATTGCGAGCACATCAATTGTACACTTACTCAAATTTCCTTGTTCCTTGGTTTATTTGGAGAGGACAACAAGTACGTAGTGCAGATTTCAGGAGGATATAGGAGTTGCCCTTTAGAGTCACTATTCACACAAGCCAATTCCCATACTTTTTGTATGGGACTTATGTAAATTGTGCTGCATCAGTATGTGGTGTGCATTTTCTAACCATCGATATTTGATAATGTTACCTTCAGCTGAGCACCCATCATATCTTTCTGGCAAATAGGGTCAGTGCAGTACGCAATGATGACTTTAATAATAAAATCTGACAGGGGAGCTACTTATTCCCCACCTTATCCAAAGCTAAAGAAAAGCTTACGTTTTAGATACTGTAAAGCTTACTCATCACTCCTGTGATCTTCTTCTCCTCCAGTTCAAGTAGTGACACCTGTCCGTGGAAGCCCCTCTTCATGCCAGTCTCCAACTGGTCTTGGTGCTGCCCTTCTCGCTGACATCATAATGCTGAGCTGTCGTCAACGCAGGACCAGCGGCTACATCATTAGAATGGAAAGTGGTGGCTGGTAACGTGCTTGCCAACATTACAGCTTTGGAGAACGGAAGACCCGACTGCCAGCTGTCCCTGAACTTTGGAGGAAGTTAAGTATTACTGTGCGCTAGCCCATCCCATGCAAAAATAACAAATAGATTCTCTGTTAGCAATACAGCTTGGTCACTTCCCATGCCCGGCCTGTAAATTGGTTGGTGAAGATGCAGCAGCAGCTCATCCATCTGATCACTCTGCTCTCTCCATCTGTCATCATTTTACCCATAAACTCATCAACCTGCAGCATACCGGATTGGCCACCAGTTCTGCCCCTCGCTTTCACAGACTGAGCTCTGCTGTACAGGGGGCTACAAAAGAGTGATACCAAGTTGAGATTAGGTACTTATACTACCTGCAATTTAAAGAAGAACTATGGGGTTAAGGCTTTTCCCCATAGTTCTCCTTAGGGTAACGGGAGGACACAAACTAGCGTCCTCCCGTCATCCTAAGCTCAGTATACCGCGAGCTACAGCTCACAGTATACTAAGACGCCGCAGCTGAAGCGGATCCCGACAATTATGTCTGGATCCGCCCAGCTGCGTGAGTGACAGCTGGCTCTGCCTATCTAGAGGCAGAGCCAGCTGTACCCGCCCCCTCCCCCGCCCGTTCCGCCAGTCAGCGCTGGAGGATCGGACAGGGGAGAGGGGAATCCAGCCCCTCCCCTGTCACGGCAGAGAGCCGTGACAGGATCGTGAAATGAGCGAACGCTGGTATGTGTTCGCTCACTTCCCGATCTACTGAGCCGACCTGCGACAGTCTCATTGTCACAGGTCGGCTAGAACTATGAGGATGAGTGAAAAGCACCCCCCCCATAGTTCTCCTTTAACTGTTTTTAGACAACTTTAGAAGTAAAGAGATGCATTACCATGGTGCTTCCTTTACATCTACCTTGAAGGTTTCTGTTCAGGTACTTCCTGTTATGGGATGACAAATGTCTCCCGATTGTGCTCCTGCATTGTCACACAATCACATGAGCCCCTGGTGGAGATTAGAAGCAATCCTTCTTTAACACATTGTATAGTCATTGTCCACTATCAGGAAGCCGGTCCAGAGCAATAATGTGCTGGCAATCAGGGCCGGTGCTAGACTATTTTGCGCCCTTGGCAAGACCACCTACTTGCACCCCCCAGCCCCCCACCTGTGGCACAACCCCCATACACCCCTGTGCGGCTCCATTCTTCTGCTGGCTAGCTTCTGCAGGCGACAGGTGGATGTCGGGAGCCAGGAACAATAGCCAGACTGCTATTAGATATTTTAATTTGAAATAGCCCATAGCGGACTGGCTATTGAAATCTCACCCACTGAGCAGAGGAGCAGACCTGAGAGAGAAAGTTGTCTCTCAGTTTCGCTCCTCTGCTCAGTGGGCAGGTGCAATAGCCAGTCTGCTATTGGCTTTTGCAATTTGAAATAGATGGGGGGCACTGTGGGGGGGTGAAGGGTCAAGGCTGCGCCCTAGGCAGCAGGGCGCCCTAGGCAGCTGCCTAGTTTGCCTAGTGGAAGCACTGGCCCTGCTGGCCATGCAGGAGTGAGTGCATGTAGACAGCAAATGTGGTTTAAAGAAGCTGGAGGAGATCAGCAATTGCTTATGATACACAATACTTAATTGAACACAATGTCCTCCAGTCAGGTTACAGATCTATCTTCAGCTTTGCTACTCAAATATGATACTAAAGTGGCTGATTGCAAAAGTACCATTTACAGTATTGTGACAGATATGTTATAGTGCTGCTTTTTGCAAGCAAACTGTTACTTTCTGTTCCATCTATGTCATATCTTCTCACACCATCCACTTCTGTTTTGAATACCTAATGTGCGATGATACGATTTTTCTGAGCCATCTAGTCAAAGCGTTCTATAAGTGCGAAGTATCTAACCACAGGTGATGAAGTCA